GTAGTCCTGGCTAAACCCTAAACCCTAAACCCTAAACCCTAAACCCTAAACCCTAAACCCTAAACCCTAAACCCTAAACCCTAAACCCTAAACCCTAAACCCTAAACCCTAAACCCTAAACCCGTAATTCCTGCTTTCCTTCTCGTAGCCGCAAGAAGGATGACAATCTTCAATGTATCTTCTGCCTTTTGATTCTTCAATTTCAACAAGAGAACCCTAAAATACAAAGGTCAAATGGGTACTGCTGGGGAACCTAGANNTGGGGGTGTCAGAAAACAGGGGACCCTAATATAGTACCCTAAATAGTAGGATCCTTATTCTAAGGACCCCAAAATAAGGTACCCCTTGTTTTCAGAAACTCCCATGTGGCACAGCACTCCGGGACAATTCGGCACGGCCACCCGCACACCAGTCCCGTCAGGAGTGTCGTAGTCATTCCTGACATTCGACATCCGGCAGTTGCTCTGAACTCAAAACTAAAGATAGCAATAATAGCACCACCAGTAGCAGTGACAACAACAGCAATAGTAGCAAAAGCAGGTGCAATAGCAAGAAAAACCACAACTTTAACGGAAAGCAGCACGAGGAAAGAAATGGAACAAGCCAACAGTAGTGGCACTAGCACTGCGACCCCTGCTACCAGCACCACCATCACCACCACGGCAACGCAGCAGACGAACTGAGTGCCACAAGCCTTTAAGCGGTGAGATGTCTTCTTGCTGAGGATTGAGCCCGAAGACACTGAGGCATTCCCTGCGACCGACCGCGACCTGGCCAAATGCAGGTATTGCTCAGTTAATAACGTCTGAAAACATGGGCTTGCTGGGTTTACGTACTATGATGCTATCGGGCACATTCGGGCCGTACCTCACCAGAGTATGGACGGAAGTTCTAGGCTGACTACAGCAGTGACCGCAGCAGCATTCGTCAGAACTTGTGGTCGATGCCTCGGGTGCAAACCAAAAGGCCTGCTGGACGAACGGCATGAGGTTGTTGGGTGGCCCATGCGGGTTCTCCCCTATCCTCACAGATGTGAGTGCAGATCCCACATCCCTCACTGCTAATGAAACACAGCTCAAATTACATGATTGCCACCCCTGAAACATACTGATGTTGTTCAAGCTGATACAGAACACAGCACAGCTGTCCTTCCACTGGGGTGGGCCTGGCATAGCGCAGATCTCTAGGAAGGTCCACAGGTCTTTCAGAACGGTGGAAGGTCAGCGTGCGCAAAGGATCACTGGTGCGGCAATTAACTGAAAGGCTGCGAACGCTCCACTCTTGACGATCTTGCTCGGGAGAGGTTCAGGTTCATGACTGGATAGCTACCGTTGTCTTGGTACTAGACATACATCCAAGAACTCAGAAGTCCCAAGACTGAGCCTGTCTGCCTAGGTTGTCCTAGGTTCATCCTAGGACTGCAACTGCGGCGTGAGCGCTCCGACTGGGTTGAAGTAGCGCAGGATGGAGATCTCAGCTGTACAGGCTTCAGGAGATCAGCTTCACCAAGATCCATGCAGACATAATTCATGCAAGCTGCCGGGAAGGTGGGATTTGCGGCTGCGAAGTCCCGAAGAATCTGCCAGCAGGTGACAGGCACATGAAGCCAAGGCTCCTCCTCCTTGATGAGTGGAACAAATCGAAATGGACCTGCTCAATCATGTACTTCGTCCATCCATAGGGATTCGTGCCTGACCGCCGGGACAGGACTATGCCCTTGGGATCACAACCCCCATCCTTCAGGGCTTCCGAAGCACCGATAAGCTATCCGACACAAGAGACCACAACAGAAGTGTAAGTGAGCCTCTCCAACTACCGGAGGCTTCAGACTTCAAGCTCCCGTCTCGCGTTTAGGGTTTAGGGTTTAGGGTTTAGGGTTTAGGGTTTAGGGTTTAGGGTTGTTTGGAGTTTTTGTTGCAGCTTCGCCCTGTGATGCACACCCTGAGGGCCATGTAGGGGAGGCCCATGAGAGCCTTCAAGTCACCTCGAAGCGCCTCATCCCTTGTAGCCGAACCGCCTCCGCTGAAATCAGACGACTCCCAACCTCAATACCTAAACCCAAACCCCAAAGCCACAAAACCCCAAAACCCCAAACCCCTAACACCAAAACCCCAAACACCAAAACCCCAAAACGCTAAACCCCCAAAAAGAACCCAAAACCCCTTAAACCCCAAAACCCTAAACCCCAAACCCCAACACCCTGAACCCCAAAACACCTCCAAAGCCTGAGCCCAGAACATCCCAGATCCTTGGTCTCGTCGAGGGGCTCCTCGGAAGGCCTCGACCCAAGTAACATCCTCCTTTGAGGGCTCCTTTTCGGCTCAACTTTATTTCGGGTTTAGGGTTTAGGGTTTTGGTAGGGAGGATTGACGTAAACTATAATTCTCTGGTTCTTCGTAGGGAAGGGGGAAGGCATTATGGCGACCACGACACGGAACTATCATCGAGACCCATTTCCCCATTCCGGACCAAGAACCAGAGGAGAAGAAGCGCCCTCTACTCGGACGTTTCTTGCCTGGGCTTTGAGGGGCTGAGGCTCACGGAGTGAGGGCTTTAGGGATCACTCACTGGCACACATCTTGGGAAACTATCGAACTCCATGACTTTCCGCGGCTGCTGCATCCTGCGGTGATTGCATGGGAATCTTCATAGCTGGGGGCTCCCAAGGCTAAGAAAGTCTGCATTTTGAGGTGTACTTGCAGGCTTTCAGTGCAAAAGCAACTACCTTGAGCGGTTACCTTCATAAAGGCCGACGTAGAAGTACCCGTGAACCTTCACTGAGCTCGGTGACCCTTGGTTTCAGGGGCCGTGGTTCCCAAGCCCTACCCCCAAAACCTCAAAACCCCAAGCCGCAAAACCCAAACCCTAAACCCTAAACCCTAAACCCTAAACCCTAAACCCTAAACCCTAAACCCTAAACCCTAAACCCAAACCATCCCCTGGCAGGATTGCCTGTAAACCGTCGCAGAAGACGAGAAGACCAATCGCCTGCGCAGGCTGGTGCCAGAGGAAACGGCCTCTTGTATGATGCAGTATATTGCAAGAGACGGTTGATGGACAAAATCCTGCATGACCCTATATACCTAAACAATGGGATTTATGATACTATACTATATTTGGGTCATGCAGAATTTTGTCCATCAGCCGTATGATGCAGTATATTGCAAGAGATTATGGCATCATAGTATGCGCACGCATACTGTAGTTAGTATGTTTTGGCATTGTTCAATGGGGTAGATTGTGCTGTTACCGCGTTGCCTTGAGTTTGGTGTGGGGACCTACAAATGCTGCAGAACTTTGGGTTGTGGTTGTGCTGTTTATTGACGAGATGTTGCATCATGCGGCATCGTGGCTGTATTTCTGTGAGCACGACACATCACACGATACTTGCCTATGCCCTGCCCGCATGCTTTGCATTAAATCGCCCACAGGACGATACAGCGTATGCTATCACAACATAACGACTGGGCTGAGCAACACGAGCAGCACACGTACCACATGATCATATGCAACACCGTCGAGCGACGCCTTGCAAGATTGCAGTCGACTGCAATATGCTATGCTATACCCGTGGTATACTATGAGGCTGGCCTGTTCACTCACGATTCCATGACTGTCCACAGGCCATAGCCGTTATACTGCGAACCCTAAGCGTTCATTCTCGAACCCTTCTGGAGAAAATCCGCGTGGTTGTTTGGAGTTTGAGGGCCCTGACCCTCAGCCCTAAACCCTACACCCTAAACCCGTGAGAGGGATTTAGGGCTTTGGGCGACGCTTTCGGACTTCAAGCGATACAGAATTGAATCGCACAGAAACAACAGACTTAGTTATAGATATAGCTATACTCATACTACACCATACAGTACACCATTGTTCTATACTACATCATCTTACGTGATATTGTGTTATCTCATGTTATACTATATCATATTTCAACACACTGCCTATAGTCTCCATTGTAGTTCCTTTTGGGGTTACCTTAGAGGATTCTAATTGTAAAATTTGTTAAACCAAAAAAAGGAACTACAACGGAGACTATAGGTGTTTTGCATTGTAGAAGATTATATCTTAGACTATATCATACTTTAACACACTGTTTTACCATTGTAGAAGAAAGCGCCGGGTTTTTGCCGATCTGCGCTCTGCGTAGCTTTGCCTGAGAGGCCCGTCCTGCACTCCGCTGTACAGGATGCGAACAGTAGCAGCCGATGCTGCGGAGACATATAACTATGACATAACCTATAAGTAGATTGTATAGTTACAGTCATGAGTCATACCTGAAAAAATGCTTATACTTTATAGTAATACTTGTGTTATCCGTATAGTCTCTTGTATTATATCACTGCCTGCTCTAAGTGTTGTCATTGGACTCATGATTTGCCACAATGCCTTTGGGAGTGAGCTTACATCTGTCTGGATCTGCAGGGACAGATTGAAGGCTTGATGGTTGTCTAAACTCATCTCTCTTGCCAGATGAATACATGCACGTGCGTACAGTATGTAGTAGTGTACATGCGCTTGGCTCTGGAAGTGAAGTGGTCAATGAACATAGCTGATCACTCCAGCACATCACCCAGTGCAGCCAGCAGTGATCTCAAGTGCCGCCGTTTCTCCTGCGACAAAACGCACTGTCACTACATTCACTACATGCTGTCCCGTAGAAGAGACAGCAGCAGTACTGCGACAGGAGCAAGTGTCACGAGGGCGTATACCTCTGCTTGGGTCTTGATGCAGCAACTACACAAACAACGGGAGCACCGCGACAAGCAAGGCGGCAGTGTAGTTCGCGGGAACTCCTTCTGGTCATCCAGGCTCTTCCAGTCATTTTCCCTGACTGTTGCGACACGCAGGCCCTTCTTTGCGAGGATCCGCCTCCTGCAGATGTCGTGCTTGGGCAAGCGCTTGCTGTCAGTCAAACTTACAGCTGACAGGCTGATAAAACTGCCATGCAGGCTGCGATAGACGCAAACCTCTCCGACTCTGCCGACGCTGCAGACAAAGGAGGCACAGACGCACCTTTTTCCTCGCTTGGGACTCGCGCATGCACAAGCTGTGTCTTTACGAGGGCTTGTCCGCTAGGGCCGCTATAGCTGTCATAGCTCCGAGTGGTTTGAATCAACCAGGTCTTTCAGATGTGAATAGCTATCGACACCTTTCATCACCAGCTGAGGCTTGACCTCCTTCCAGCCCGCGGTGGCGGTGCGAGGCAGAAGTTCCGGTGAGGTCGGCCGGGTTTGCGAGTTGGCAACGGCCCGAAAGGCCTGGAAGAGGTAGCAGAGCGTGTCGTGCCGGCGTACCCGCTGCGAGAAGTGCTCAAAGCCCCGTCGGGCTATCGCTTCCGCTTCTTCCTGGTGGTCTTCCAGCCATTTCACTTTTGGGACTAAGTCCGAAAGGCCCTGGCTAATCGGAACATAGTGCACCCAGGGAGTGAGCCAAGATAGAATCACCTCTCGATCCGCACTGTCCTGCATCAGAATCAAAGATCCCGTGGCTAGCATCTCGGCCAGGCGCCAAGCTGAAAGCACTGCAGCCACATTAATAAGGTACCGATATCTTGGCATGATCTTGCGCAGCTTCTCATACCGGGCCTCTCCACCAAGTTGTTTCACCAACTGTTTTGCCCCTGCTTTGCCGATGGTTCTGTACATCTCCCGATCCTTAGTACTCTAGCACTACAACTCCGAAGATTCCGATAGATTCAGCAAAGAGGATAGCAGCCAAGCCGCGACACTTGTAATGCCGACATCAAAGAGGTCAGGGAAGTCCTTCGCCAGCTTCATGAGACGAACCCTTGGCAGCGTCCCCATGTCGTCCTTGAGGAAGTTGTCTGGGGCGGAGAGCTGGCCCCTCCAGTAGACCTTTGGAATCTTCTTTGCCCAAGGCACGTGATGATCCCTGTGTTGCGGCAAGTCACCGAGCAGATGCTGGGCATGGGCCCTGAGATGGTAGGGATTTGGAAGAGGGATCGTCCAGTGGCCGGCACTTCGAACCCAGTGGAACTGCGGAATGGGGCTCCAGTACACCTTGTCCACAAAGGGTTGATCCCCGGTGTTGAAGAGGAAAACCATCTCCGGGAGCTCTTCAGCGACCTCGGCCACCAGCGACAAAAGCGCCTCCACGTCCGTCACAGGAGGCTCTTTCAGCAGTGGGGGGCTGTCGCACTCGCTCGAGCAGCAGTGGTAAAGCACCTGACCCTCTCGGACCACCCCAATGAAGGCGAGGTCGATCTGGGGACCCACCATCTCGCAGACCGTGAAGAAGGACTGCCAAGGCATCTGGTGGTCCCACCACCTCATCTCACAACCCTAGCGGACCCTAGCGCTCCGGCGAGAGCGAGCGAGAGAGACAGAGAGCGAGACAGAGGAAGTTGTGAGGTATGACGATGATCCGACGGCAAGGGGGTCGGGCACGTGGCCGGCAAAGCCTGGAGCTCCAAAACCTTCAGGGCCTACAGCAAGCACAGCAGCAGCAACGGCAGAGTAGGAACTTGCAAGACAACAGCAGATGACACGAGCAGGCACAACAGCAACGACAACAAGTCGTAAGTCGTAAAAGCTTGGGCGCATCACTGCGAGTGCTCCAGCTATGAATCAGCATTATTGTCATTAATTATCATTATTGGATAGTACGAATCATAACCCAACCACTACTAAAACTCTTAGGACTTAGGAGTTAGGATTACGTACAGCACCAATATGTGTATTCGTATCAGTCTTGTCGTCTTTGTCTTAGTTACGGCGGTTACTACCCCAAAGGGGCCTCCAGAATTCCCGCAAGGATTACTGCTACATGGAGCGAGCAACTCCGCAAAGTTTGCACCTTGAAAGGGAGGGTGACACACTGAACCCCAGGCTCCAAAAAATACCAAAGTAAAAAACGAATGGAAAAACGATAAGCCGCAAAATCTAAAAACACTTTAACATGTATACATGTATGGCTATTTGTGTATTAATGTATAGATGTATTTTTGTCTATGCATTGCTGTTTATATTGGTTTATGCATGTATTCATGCACGTACCTATTCATCTACTTACTTGTTTCTATATACATCTGATGTGTATATACATACATACATACA